CTAAGAAGCTTAAGCCACTTCGACATGAGTTCGATCCCTGCCTGCCCTGGAGGAGATCCACATGGCGTGGCAGACCTCTCCTGGCCTGCCCGCTGCTCCCCTCAGCAGTGTACTTCATTGATCTGCCTGTTCTGCTCTCCACTCTGTCCCTGGTGAATTCTCTCACCCTCCACATCTCTGGCCTGTACCCCAGTTCTGTATGAATAAATAAATATTAAAAAAAATTAACCTGTATGTTCCTGCCACAGGTAAAGCACGTACCCGCAAGCCTCTCCAGCTGGTGGTTGGCACCCTGACCCCAAGTTCAGTCTTCTTGTCTTGGGGTTTCCTCATCAACCCACACCATGACTGGACATTGCCGACTCACTGTCCTAATGACAGGTAACTCACCTTCATAGAAGGTTTTATTTTTCATCTGAAAATTACATTTGCTTTTATAATATATGTGCATGTTTTCCAGGAATGTATAGATAGAAGGAACGTTAGCATTTACAGGCTATCTGTTAGTTGTATAGCCTATTCTAGGTGTAGGGAGAGAGAAGGCACTTATTAGGCTATTGAGGGAGTTATCTGCTTGAATAGAAAACACATGCAAGTATTTTTGTTTTCCAAAGAATAACCTCCATGGAGAATAAACCAAACAGTAATTGGGAAGTATCCATGAGAAGGGCAATAAAAAATCTGAGGATGAGATTGTAAGTAGTTTAGGAAAGACTGTTAAGAGTTGGCAAGATTGACCTTTGGTTGAAAAGGATGATTTGATCCCTGGAGAATTATTATAGAAGTCGTAGTTCCATGGTGTGGTCTCCAAACTAAGTAGTATCACATTTAAAATCACTTGGGAACTTGCCTGGCAGAACAAATTAAGAAAAATCATAAGTACATTTTAAAATTCCAATTCATCTGTCCAGTACACGTACATGGAGTTTTCTATATGTCAGGAACCATGCTAACTGCAGTATATGATGTCTGCATTGCTTATAAAATGATGTTCACTTATTATTTATAAGGTGGTACATTGATAAAGAAGTTGTTTCTCTTTTTTGATATAGTAGTCGTTATTGAGGCATAATTTAAATGTAAAATAAACAGATTTTAGAAGTACAGTTTGATCAATTATGAAAAACATGCATAATTATGTATTACCACACCCCATCAAAAATAAAAAATGTTCATTACCCTAGCAAATATCTTCCATTAGAAACAATCACTGATTTATTTGTATCACCATAGATTAGTTTTGCCTATTTTAGAATTCCACATGAACAGTCACATAATATGTTCTCTTTCGATGTGTGTATTCCTTCATTCAGGTTGTTTTTGAGCTGTATTCAGACATTGCCAGCAACAATACAGACATGTATTGCTTGCTTACGGGGATCTGTCTTGGAAATGCAGTTAGACAATGGTCAACTGAAATATGGTTAAGTGACACGTGACTGTAGCTTAATCCTTTTTTATTCCTGAGTAGTATTCAATTATGTGAAGCTTCCAGAATGTGCCCTTATCTTGATGGTGCACACCTGAATTGTGTCTTATTTTTGGTTTTTATTAATATACATTTCATAAACATTCTTGCTCTTACACAAAACAAGACTTTTGCAGGTATTCTTATTTTTTTTTTAAGGTAACCTTGGTTTTCAACACTCCACTGTTCAGAGGCATAGGGTCACATCTCTTCATCTATATGTTACCACACTATACCCACCACCATCAAACCCCCAAGGTCCTTGTAAAGATTGTTACAGTTTATCCTAGATGAACACTAGGATGACAAGGGAGATGTATTCTTGATGATTTTTTTAGCCTGATTTTTCTCATTTATATTCCTGTGAGCAATGTGGGTGAGTTGTGTTTGCCCCCATGTCCTCACCAAATTCATGTTGACAACATATTTCACTTTAATTACCGTATGTAATTGTAGTTTACTACTGTTTTAATATGTAGCTCCTGTGTAAAAAAAAATACTGAACCTTTCCTCATGTTCTTTTGGGCCATGTCTATTTTGATAGTGTTTTAAAACTTGTATTTGTCTACATTTAAAGAACAACCTTCAAAAATGTTTCTAAGTTCTGCAAACTACCTTTCATATGACTTTGATTAGGAAATCTAGACTAAGAAAGGGGAAAAATTAAATTTCCTTTGCATGTCCTTAGTCTGAGGAAGAAATCTTGGAAAAGGACATGTAGACAATGTTGCCAAAACCAAATTTTTTGAAAAATAATTTTGAGATGTTTCAAAGAATCCGAAATATTCCTATTGTACCCACCACTAATACCATAAGTTATTTTGTTTGGAAAATGAGACTTTTAAAAATATGCTTTTTTGTGATAATTCCAGTTTTTAGTGGATTGGCCAAGGGTGCCAATGCTGAGAAAATAAACATTTGTGGACTGTTTTCTTTTCCTCATTTTTTAGTTTTTATTTAAACAGAAGAAAGAAGGGAAGAGGAAAGGGAGGCAATTTGATATTCTAGCAAATGGAGCAGGTTTAACGGTTATTTAACTTTTTGATAAGTACTTGAGTTTCAGTAACCTGTAAATTCACATAGTGTAATTTGGATACTCTAGCCTCTTCTCCCCTATGGCCTTTTTTGCAGTTTCAATTGGTCCTACTAACTTGTGCATGAAAGATTTTATCTAATGATTCATTCTAACCTATAAATGTTGCTGTGTTTGCACGGATTCAAACTGGTGGATGCTGCCAAAAAGGGCAGGGAGAAAGGTAGAGGAGCATGACCTGGTGGAGGTTGAACCGAGGAAAATGATCTGAAGGCCCAGCCTACCCAGCCACATGCACCTGCATCCGTTGTTCATATCCCCTAACTGTTCTTATCAAATAGATGATTCATGCTCCTCAATCACAATATTCTCAATAACTCCATTTGGTGTAAAGTTTTTAAGTTCTATAATAATAACATGACAATATACTTTCAAACCTTCGTGGGTGGGAGAATCCGGGCCTCATAGACAAAATTAGGGAACAATCAGGATATGACAAAAGTGAAGAATTAAGCAGTAATGACCAAAAAAAACCACTTGGATTCCTTGTGGATTTCATTGACCTATGCCTTCTTTTTCCCTAGTTACTACAATTAATAAAAAATTGACATTTAAAGTCTATGAAGTCTGAGAACAAATAATAATCATTATTTAAAATCTCTGAAAATATTGTACATGTCGTAAGCAAACAAACTAGAGCTCTAAGTTAGTGCAATTGGAAGCAGACTTGGAGAAATCTATCTTTACATAATGATACATATTGTTTTTAAAGTTTAGACTAATTCAGAAGGTTAGAATAAGCATAGTTATATGAAATAATTAAATATTAGAACATTAATGTAGCTGATGTTACCTTTGGTAGTATCAACCAAAACCATTGAAATCTGAATGCTCATGGTTTGCTACAGGAACACTGGTATCAGTTTTTTAGTCCATTGAATGCTAGTATGTGGCGCTTTGTGTGAAGCTGGATTAATAAAAAATCACTTTACTTTGGTTTTTCAGAGCTTCATCTTTTCTGTACTAAAGATCTTGCAAACTAAGTTGTCAGTGAGTAAACTGCTGTTCTGGTTTTTCACTTGGTAATGTTAATGGAGTGCCACTCTGGCCTTCAGGGCATATATTTCTGTTCCTGTTTGCAGAGGGTACTTAAGGCTCTCCCACGCTCTTAAATCTTTTTCTGAGTTCACGGTGAAGTGTTAGTAGACACTCTTAGTGTAGAGTTATTATTCTTAACAGACTTTGAGAGGAAGAACATACGCATTTCTCTTCGGTGTATTTAAGGTCATAAGAAAGCTTTTCAAATGACCCGATGAAGAGTAAAACATGTTTTTAACCAAAATTTATTTCATCATTAAGAGCTAATTTGACCCTTCCCAGATTTCCAACTTGTTTAAGCATTCAAGCCTGCTTAGTTTTTGCTACTTTGCCAACTTGTTAAATAAAGCTTTATGATTCATTTAGAGATCATTTTCAAATTTTCTAACATGTTCATGCTGTTCTCATCAGTCTTGGTGTAGAATGAGGTTCCTTGTTTCAGCTGGTCCAGTGCATGCTCTTGCCTTTTTTATTCCCAAGTTTTTAAGAAGTGGATATTTTCAATTTCTATGAGTTCTCACTTGACTGATTCCAGTCTCTTGTTACCCATGTAAATTTTAGGATCTACGAGAACAAGGAGCCATGTGTACCTTAACCAGTATTATTTCCTAATTTCCAGGCTAGTAGCTGAAACACAGTAAACCCTTGAAAATATGTGCTAATTATATTCAGTATAAATTATGAAATGTCAGGAATTTCACTTTTATGACTCACCATTGCAGGTTAAAGTAGGGTTTTTTTTCTCTTGAAATAATCACCTCATTTATCATTAGTTTTTGAGGTACTGTAATACTTTTCACCCTAATTTAAAACTAATTTGAAGAAGATAAATTCTTCTGTCTATTCTGTTAAATCTTCCAAACTACTTTTTTATCTCTTTTAATTCTGGGGCTTCTTAGCGTGATTCACCCTTGCATTCTTGTTTTCTAAACAACCCATGCAGTCCTTATTTCCTCTCACTGACTTCGGTCCCCTTTTTATCATTCCACTGCAAGTTTAGCTTATTAACTTGGATTTAATTGTTAAATCCAGTAGGTTTCTCAGTTCTTACTCTTTTTAATGTCTGAGTAGAACTTTGGCCACCCTTCAATTCTTGAATTCTTTATTTTTAATTTAGATTTTTCTCTTTATCTTCCTTGGCTTGCTTCCTACACTCCCTCTCCCATATGAAACAGAACTCTCACTGGGTCATCTGTGTATCCTCACCTAAGCCATGTTTATAATTATGAGTCTAGTCTCATCATTTCCTTCATAGAAATATAGCTGAGATAAATTTTCTTCATTCTATTTCTTTTGTGTTTCATTCCTTCATTGTTTCTGGACTATAGCATATTAAGATTCCTCCCTCCACTTTCTTTCTAATTCTTGTGCTAAGCATAGCTCCTCCATCACTGATTACTTTGTTCACCTGCTGAAGAATCTCCTTCAGCTCCCAAAAGCCTAGTAAAGGGAAGCATAGAATCTCTCCAAAATTCCATCTCAAGGAATGTATGAGTTGTGCCTCTAACAAATGGTTTAAATCTGTCCTGCTCTGTTGTTCCTGGATCTGAATAGGATGGTCTGCTTTAAAACAGATCACAGGGATATAACTTAAGGTGCAATCTGTCTGTTTCATAAGTTCAGGCTATAGAGTGCCATACCCAAAATCCTTAGACTGCTCTGCTCATTTTTTAAAGACAGTCATGATGTCCTACTTGTTTTCTCCCTGCATCATGTTTTACAACAGGTTTCAACAAACATAGAATGGGTAAGTAAATGGACTGTCAGGAACAAACCATATAA